TAATATTAATCTTCAACTTTAATATTCTTATTAACAATATTTTTTTTAATAAAATTTTTACAAGACATATAAAAATTTAAAAACTTTTAAACACTGATAAAAAAATGTAAAAATCAGATTATTTAAAAAATATCTAAAAAATCGATTTCATAATAAATCACATCTAAACAAACGATGGAATTTTTGAATGGCATCTTGCTATAATCAAATTTTAACCAAAAATTAAAAATACTTAAATAATCCCCAAATTACCTTTATTAAATCTAAACACTAAATTTATGCTTATCTTAAATCAAAATGACATCTTACGCTATCTATGTATCTATGTAAATTTGTAAAATTAATTATTTTTAATATTTAATTAAATCATATTTTTGGCTCCCATAGGATCAGTAAGAATCAGAATTCCTATGTGATGGGAGTTAATGAGGAAATATTTAAAAGGATAAAAAGTTTAATACATATAAAAATTTAAAAATTTTAAAAGAGTATTGATTATTATAACTTGGGCCTTTTATATGTGAATCAACGAGGATTTATTAAACTAAATTATCATTATCATTAACCAAGATATTTTTAATATTGATTTATTTTAAAAACTGAAAATATATTTGAGCAAATAAATTAATTATTTATAAAAGCTAATTTTAATTAAAATAAAATAATATTAAATACTTGAACTTATAAAATTAATTTAAAATATATTTTTTTGACTTTTCATTTAGATACATTTTTAAATTAACAAAATTAATTTTTTTATTAAACAGCAATTTATTTAATAATTTAGTTTTTAATTTTTAGTTTGATTGATAAATATTTAAGATTGTTAATCATAATTTGCATTATTTATTACTTGATTAAAATAGCTACTTAATTTAATTTAAAATTTATTAAAGAGACTCTTTTTTTAATTGATTAGATTTTATCATAATTTAGATTATTTTTTGAAAAAATTTAAATTCAATAACGATTCTTTTGATCTTTAATCTCATTTCGATTTAAAATATTTTTTAAAGTAAAATTAAAATATTTTGACAATCAAATGAATATCTCATAAAATTTAATTTTGTATAAATCAAAATTTAACTTAAAATTTTATATTTAAAACAGCATTTAAAATTTTAACAGTATTTTCTTTTGAAAAAATAATTATCAAAAAAAATAATTTTAACAAAAACAATCATATTTTTAACTTCTTTTAAATGTTTAGTTGTTATTTATATTGATTCAGCTTTCTAAAATATTTAATTATCTTGGTATTTTATTAAAAGATATATTTTGAAACTAGATTTTAGCAATGATTGATAAAATAATTCCACATAATAAGCATAAAAGTTAGATCATATGAGTTTATTCTTTTTTTAAAAGTTTATTTGGTCTTCTAAAAAAACTAACAATAAAATGAATATTGTGCTATGCTTCCATAGACTTTACTTTAACTTATGATTCGAAGGATTTTAGACATCAAAGTAAGGAATAGACAAATGTATATTGAATTGAAAAATATGAGAATATGAGAATTAATTGATTGATTGATTGATTATAAAAAATTTGTTATTATTATGGAATATTAAGTTGTTTTTTGTCAATATCTTAGATTATGCAAGGATTTTAGAATTGAAGAAAAGATAAAAGAAGATTCATAATAAATAAATATTAATATAAATTAATAACTGATCTTAATAAATAATTATCTAAGTTTGATCAATATTTAAATTAGTTAATAAATATCATTTAAAAAACTAGAGTGTTTACAAAAAAGCATAGGTAGGGGCTGATAAAGTTAAATAATATTTTATTAAAGATAAGATAAAAAAGATGGGAGGATGTTAATCTGAACAGAAAGAAAAGCCTGTAGAGTAAAATATTGATTCTTTATCAAAATAGCAATTATTTAATTCTATAATACTGAAATTCTATTTTTTACTGACTGCTGATGTATAGAACGATTATTAATTATTTAATAGGTTAGTAGAAGCTAAAGATGCAAGAGACGTAGTTGATTAGTACAATAAATACCAATCGATTGGTATTTAAAAAGAAAAGCTAGAATTCAGATACGTTTATGCATTCAAATTTAAAAATGAGCTATATGAAGTAGTGAAAGTTTATTTAGAGCCAGTCAAAATCCCTGATTTTAGATATTAGTCTGACACAAGAGATGATTGGGAAAAAATTCTTATAAAAAAAGTAAATTAATCTGATTATTAAGCATAACCAGAGCAGTAAAGTTAAGCTAACCCAAAAGAGGTATAAAGCAACGAAAACGACGGTGATGAGGAGGATGATTATTTATTGATGATGAACCTCTTAAATTAGAATACAGCACTAGTACATGAAAAATAGGTTCGCTTCTTTGAAAAGCTCAAACATCCTAATTTGGTAGAATACATGGATCATTATAGAATAAATAATCAATTAACTGCATTCAAAGAATATTGTCCTCAAGGAGGCCTTATCAAGTATTTGGAAAGAAATAAGAAAGAGTTGAATGCAGATATCCTTTTTGATTTGATAGAAGATGTATGTAACGCACTGAAATTTCTTTATGATAGAGCAGTAGTAGACTTTGAGCTTTCTTTGGAAATGATTTATGTTTCCAATAACATAATAAAAATAGATCTTTATAATGGCGTTAAGATGGATGAAAAAGTGATTCGTCGTTTACTTAATGAAGGCCACAAAAGTGATTCTTAAGTATTCAACAATCTCATTTTAAATTCAAGAGTTTAGATGCCAACTCATCAATTTAAACCAGTATAAACTGCTTAAAGCACTTTGAAGACAAGCTAAAAAACTAGAATAGTCATTGATGACCAAGCTCAATTTGTTGAATAAATACAAAAGAAATTTAAAGTTGATGAAAATAAAATTAATATTGACTTTGTTAGACTTTTTTGTCTTTACATTTTATTTGATTAAGATTTTAGAGTAATGCTTAAAGAAAAATAGGCCATTCCAAATACCAGATAATTTTCTAATAAGGGTTAAACATAGACTATGGCATATAAAGAAATAGATGTCAGTGAAATTAAAGAAGTAAACAAAGCACCTAAAGATCTAAAAGAATTTATGTAATGGACTTTAAATTAAATTAAATCCATCCGTCCAAATTTAACTGAATTACATAAAGAAATATAAAGAATTAGATATTAAGCTGATGTGATCACATATATAAATTAATTGTATATAAGAAACGCTAGCAAAAAATAAAGTAATTAATCTGAGCTTCCTGGTGATGAAAAGTTAAAAGGCTATCAATCTCATTACTTGCACACAACTATGTATGATGATTGCAAATAAAATGATGATGATGAGGATTTCAACGAATAAAAAGATGAGCTACATGAATCATCAACAAATGCTAAACAAATAATATTTAATAGACATTTAATAAAGAAAAGTGCAGCACAAAAAATAGAATAGGAGGAAGAAAGTGTCTAAAATTAGTTAAATAATTCCATTCAAAACTCTTTGAACATAGACACTGTTAGCTTTAATAATAATCATGACTCTGTAGACAAATAATAAAAGAAGAATGTAAAAATATGGGAAGAAGTTGAAGAAATTCCTTAAAATTAAATTAAAAAAATAATAAATCCAACAGATTTAATGAATGTTCAATTCAAATTCTATGAAGAAAATTATTATGTGGCTTCTTTAATTAACAAATCTGAGTATGGATTAGGTTTTAGAATCGAAAATGTCATTAAAAGTTAGCCAAGAGCATTGTGCTTAAAAATATCAAAAAGCAAAAGCTACAACCCCTTTTTAGAGAAGGAATTTACAATTTTAAAATAATTTGGAACTCCATATATAATTAAGAGCTATTCTTAGGTTCACATCAAAGGTCTAAATGGAATTGTAGTTGATTTATATAGTTAAAATCTATAGCAATATCTTATAAATTCATCTAAATTAGATATAGCTTGTTAACTTATTGAATTTTTACATTAATTTTTAAGTGGATTACATGAACTTCATGTTAAAGATATTATTCACAGACAACTTTCATTTGAATCTATTTGCATCTAATCACCTTCTTCGAGCGCTCAAAACAAAACCATTGCTAAAATCTCTAATTTAGAACTAGCTATTTAACTTAAGTCATAAAATTATATTAGTTCTGATATACCACTCAATTCTTATAGCTCCCCAGAAATGAGAGAAAAGTAAGCTTATGGTATTGCATCAGATGTATTTTCCGCAGGAGTTATCATTTTATCAGCTCTGTGCAATGTCTCTCCTAAAAAAATTCAATCGATTGCCTGTCCCGATTTGTTACCTCAAGGCAAATAAAATCTTTATGTCAGTCATATTGTAGACTAAAAAGTAGACTTATAATAAAGTCACTATCAAAGAGTGTTTAGCAAAATCTAAAAGAAGTAACCTAAAGATGAACAAAGAAAGATAGGTACATCTGAAACAAAAGGCACTACCGAATCTAATATATTTAAATCTCATTCTATCCTTGTCGATAGCTCACCCTCATAGAGTAAAAACTAAAGTAAAAACGAAATAGAATTATAGTAATCTGCAATGAACTCTCAAAGAGTATAGACATCGAGATAAAATATAAACTAAAAAGGCTTAAGGGAAGTATTAGGAGAAAAATGTCCCTAGCTGATTATTGACACATTTGAAAAAATGATCTCTAAATACCCTCAAATAAGAGGTAACTGCTCTGACTACCTAAGTGATTTACAAAGATTAAAAAATCAACCTGAAGTTATTAACTATGTGAACATGCAAAACAAGCAAACAAGACTAATCTGAATGAAAGTTAAATAAATAATAAAATTAATAAATAAATATTTGTTTATAGCAAAATTAAAGATTCGAAACGAAGGATTATACAATGATAATGATTTCCATGTTAATTGCTTTACAATTTTAATCATTTAATAATAATCAATATAATTACTTATTAACTAATACTATACAATCATCAATCAATAATTCACTTATTTTACTATATTTATGATAATCATATATTCGTATATATATTTATATTTAATTAATATCCTTTGATCAATTCAATTAAATTCTACGAAGCACTGAATAAAAAAATCTTTGCTTACATAACAAAATAAATAAAAAAGGAATTAATTTACATAAAGAATTATTATCTATCTATAAATTAATCAATCTTTTTATCTTTGTTTTTTGTTTGGCGGAATTAAATAATTAATATGCAAATAATTTAAAAATATACTAATTCCTTGCTTGCCAATAAAATAATCTATTTGCTTGATATCATTTATTTCAATCTATTCCTAATAAATTTTACTAGTCTTCTCACTCTTCAGAAACTATACTTTTGATATTATCTTAAGTTCATTCATATTTTATTAATTTATCATTTCAAATTATTTCTTTGTAAAAAACTTAAAATTCATTCATTTTTATACATAACAAGCATAATTTCCTTTATAAACTAATTGCCATATTTGTAAATCAAAATTAATGTTTTTATTCTTACTTAGAGCTACTAATTTTTCTTCAAATCATTTAAGTTTTACTCAATTTAAATATTAAGCCAATATTAATTATTAAAATTATTTTTTTATTTATTTATATGGGGTTTTAATATTTTTTTAAAACGATATTCAAAAAAATAAAAAATTTTAAAGCCTTGACTTAGCATTTTTATTAGATAGCAATTAATTTTTATACCTTGCTAATTCAATAGATAGAGAGATTTAGTTATAGTAAGTAAATTGGTTAAATCAATTATTTTGTCTTTTTACTCTATTTCTGAAAATTGTAATGAAAATAATGGATAAATGAAAAGCGTAATATTGTCTATTTTAGGTTTTTTATCTATTTTAGATAAATTTATAATTATTCTATTATAATAAAGAAAAAATAATTGTATTAAGCATGAAAATTAAATAGAAAAGAATATTTGTTAATTAGTTGGCTTGTATGATTTTAATTAAGTAAATAAAATCTTCTATTTCAATTATCTATATCAATTGAGCAATGAAATATATTCTACCATCAATACAAAAATTTAATTCAAGTATTTAATTGATAAATCTTTAAAATTTGTCTTTTTTAATCCAGTAAAAATGAGTGCCTTGCTTCTATTTAAATTCTATCTCAATATAAAATTTTAATAATAAAAATAATTTAAAAATAAATACTAATAAAAACACAATCACAAGAATCAATCTAAAGCATTCTAATTACTGCTTTATAATAAGGTTTCCTTATCAATTCTATAAAAACAATACACTTACTTGCTGGACTAATACAAGAATGGGCTAATGTTGCACTGCTGATAAAAAGGTAATTAAAGAGATTTCTATATCTATTATAAGCTGAACAAACTTAATCTTATAACCAAAAATTTTGTTCATAACCAAACAATCTTAACAATTATTGATAATTCTTCATATTTGAAAATGGTAATAATATCATTCAAAAATACTCGCAATAGCTTTTAAAGCAATTTTAAGAGACAAAAATAATCACAAAATATTTGAAATGAAATAATTTTATTTTTTAAACTTTGATTGATGAAGAATTTTATTTATTTCAGCAAAATTGTTTGGAGAATGAACGAATTTGGTAGCATTAATATTAAAAATGAATAGTTAAATTTTATACTGAAATAAAATTTACATCCCAAAAATGCTATGAAATCTGATGCAAAATCAAAGAGAAAATTTTAAAATATTGCTGGATAATTAAATTAAGAATTTTTTCATTGATTTTTTAATGAAGTTAAATTCATGCATAATAGAATAACTTAGAACTGCTGGCTAAATTTGGCTAGTTTTTTATTTAATATTTAGAAGAAAATCCAGCAATTTTTCTTAAAATTGATTTGATCTAAACCTTATAAAAAATTTTAATTTATTAAATAATTTTTTATTCATTAAAAGAATAACAAAAAACAATTGAAGTATACCAATAAGAGTCTTCAAACTAGCGAACGCCAACAAAGCATTAACCGCAAATCAATCAAGGAAGAAATCCGTCACGTAGAAGAAGAATAACAATAATAAAATAATTTAGAAAACCTCGAAAGTTCAATGGGAAATTGTTGTGCTGCAAACGAAACTGTTGTTCCAGATGTTAACAAGTAATTAAAATTCTTTTTTTTTTCAAAAATTCAAAATTTTAAAAATTGAAAATGACAAAATTTCAAAAAAAAGCCTTAATAAAACATTAAATTAAATTATTTTATCTTAAAACAGTAGTAATGAACAAAAATAACCTATGCCCAAGTAAACAGTTGAAGAGATTTTGAACGATTTACTTAAAAACGAAAACGAAGAAGATAGATGTTTCTAATACTAAAACGAAAAGTACATCGTAATTAAGCGTGTTGAACATGAAGAAGAAAAAGACTATGTTGAATACATTCTTAAGAAAGTTAGCGACGGTTAAAATTACTCTTTGAAAATATTAAAGAATCGTCAAAACTACTCAGAAATAGTTGAAGAAATTAATGCCATTTAGGAAAAGCAATAAGTCCTCAAAAACGATGCCATAGTCCGTTTCTATGGTTACAGCTTTGCTGGAAATTAATTGTGTGTTTTGCAAGAAGGTAACAACCAAGGTACTCTCAAGCAATTCATAGCAGCTCCTTCTACCAATGCATCTGCTAATTTGGTGATTAACTTCATTATCGAATTATATGAAGCTCTTAAGGAATTCTACAAAGAGTCTATCTATCCCTAAGTAATTACTTTGGACAACATAGTTATCCAAAACAATCGTATTAAAATTGATACTCTTGGTGTCCTCGACTTCGGAAAGAAAATTACTTACAACGAAAGCTAAGACTAAATCTAACGTATCATCTACGAAAACCGTATCAAGGAAAAGAAGAGCATAAAGGAATCTGGTAAAGTAGTTATGTAACTCCTTCTCCGTTGCCAAGATGAAAACTTCCAAGAATATTTATTCACTTAATGTCCTTTAATGATGTAAAACTTCTTCTTAAACATTACCAGCGACTAATTAGAAAGAAGATCCACTGCCGTCGAAGCTGCTCAATAAGTTAAATTAATGGCTTAAAATCCTCAAGTCATTAGTCTAGTTAACCAACAATATTTCTCATCTTTAACTTATAGCCAAGCCAAGTTTTACTGAGCAAATTGTTAGCAAAATCCAAACTTTTATCAAATTTGAATGCATAATGACAAACAAAATCAAATTTTCTCTATAATAAATTCTATTATCCCCAATATATAAATAAAGATCAAATCAATCAAATAATAAATAAATAAATTATCTATAATCATATTAAATTAATTAATTAATGTATAATAAATATTCCTTTTACAGTATTCTATTCAATATGTCTTAAAATATTATTTTTAATTATATGAAAATCAATTTATTCATTTGAAGCTTTTATTTGTTTTTTCTATTTTTATTTAAAAAAAATCTATTTATTGACTTTTTTAAGATTTGTATTATTTTTATTAATTTGTATTATTAAATAGAATATTTGCAAATAATACTTCATGTTGCTTTTTTATGTATTTTTTCTATAAATTAAATGATTATTTTATCAAAAAAGGTATTTAATGAAAATTTCAAATTTCAACTGATTTTTTTATTTTATTCAACTAATTTAATTGAATTAAAAAACAATGTTTTCATTAAAACTAATTCAGGTAAGTAATAACATTATTTTTTCTAAAAAATAATCTTAATTTACTTTTATAGAATAAATATTATTGATAAATAAAAGGTTAAATATTGCTTGCAAAGAAATAATTATTCATTTAAATACTTTGAAATTAAATAAATTCCGTTAATATGCAAGATTAGATAGGGTTTTATTTAGGAAAATATAAAAAATGCTTTTTTATGAATAAAATCATTATTTTCCCATAATATTTTTTACAAGAAAGTTTAAATTTTTTTTTTAGTTTTTTTATTTTATTAAACTAATTTTATCATTTTATTGATTTAATTAAAATGATATTTTCAAAAAAATTAATAATAAGAAAAATTTTTATTTGATTTAGTTGATAATTGTAATTTATTTTTATGGATTGATGGGTTTGAATAACAAGGTTAAAGATTGCTTGATTGAATGTTTATCAAATACTTGTAAGTTAAATAAATTATATGCTTATTTTTTATGGACAAGATTAGATAGGTTTATATTTAAGAAAATAGAATGCCTGTAAATATAATTTAATTAATTAATTTATTGATTTCAACAAAGGATGCTGATAAAATAATTTGAAAATTAAGGAGACAAAATTAATTTTATTTGTTTATGTTTTAATAATGCTAAGAATAATATTTAGATTGAAAAGATTTGAGATGAAAGTATTTAGATTTTTAAGATGATAGCGAGTAAGCAAAATGGGAGTGCTTTCGGTTGGCGTGTAATAAGAAAATAAATATAAATTTAAGTAGTAAATTTTATTTTAGGTGAAATTAAGATGATTTGCAAAGAATTTAGTATTCAATGTATATAAAGAAAAGATAGTAATTGATAACAGAAAATATTAATTAATTGATTTGATCTTATTAATACCAAAATGCATATATAAATTTGAGGAAAACAAATAAACCAAAGACCTTATTCTTAACCAATAAATTATTCTTATTAAATTAATAGAATTCATCAATAATAAAAGACCTTAATAGCAAAATTATAATATAAAAATATTCATATGGGTTGTTGCTCAATATCTCCTACAAATGTAGACAAGCCAACCAGCCTTACAGCTGTTTATAGATTTTCATTAACTTAGTTTTATTTATTATATATAGGATGGGTTTAGAGTTGAACTCACCGAAGGCTTCAAGCAAATCATTAATCAGAAATCAGATCATGATGATAAGATTTTTAGGAAGTATAATGAGTTTATAGAATAAGAAAATAGGAAGCCATAATTGATTTCAGGTTAACTCAAATTTCAAATAATTTCAAATTGAAACTAAATTTTTAATATTTTAGTTTTGGGACGAGGGAGAAGCGTTTCTCAGATGAATGGGACAAACATATTGTAGTAATAGAATAGAATCAATACACAGTAATTTGATTGAACTATTTTTATTGATTTTTACATTTTATTTCTTTATAGTGAGAATATTAAATATTGGTATCCTCGTCCTTCTGTTTAGAGTAGGACATCTTTGTCTCCTTTAAGTAGATCAAGCTATATAAAGAATGAAAACATGCCAATTTAATAAAGTTAAAAAATGACTTCTTCTTATATAAATTAAGGAGACAATAGGTTTAATAGAAGTTATTCTGTAATTAGCTCTCAAAGAAGCAGTTAGGGAGCTATTTATACTTAGGTATCGCCTCTTAAAGTATCTCCAATTAAGAGCAATCCATCTCAAAATAAGCAATCAATTTTAGTCGTCAATGATTTGAGTTGCTAAACTAATTAAAATCATAGTTTTCAAGCTATTGCTAATAATCCTAGCAATCAAACCAACATATGGAATTAAATTTCTTAAGAAATTAATCAATTTACAAGTAAAAAGAATAGGCAAAAAGTTAAAATAACACTACAAAGTGATAAATGCTAAGATTTTTCATAAACAGAATAAATTTTAAGCTAGCTCACACCCTAGTTGGCTAACCAAGGTATTATTGTAAGCTAGCAAAATATATAGTTTGTTTAAAATAACAATGGAAACAAACAACTCGAAGTGGAATTACAGATCAGCTAAAATTAAAACAAAACTGATTTAGAAGAAAATATCAACTAAGAAAATGAAGTTGTTAATCAAGTTTAAGAATTCACCTTACAATAAGTAAAAATGAATATTTTATTATAAAAAAATTTACAGCTAAAATAAACCAATTAGGAGAACAAATGATAATTTGAAAACCTAAAAATTAATTAAATTTATTGATAATTTTAATTAAATTTTATTTATAATTAGGAATCATTAAATACTTCTAAAGTATCAAGCACAAAATTATAAAAGGGAAATCAATAAGCATGTAAAATTTTGTCAACAAATTGTATTGTTTTTTAATAAAACTTTTATTATTATTAATAGAAGAAAGCGAAAAAGATATAAATAATGATAAGGAATTTAATTAATATTCAAAAGGCTCTGCGGATTCTGTTGCAAGTAATTACCAGTATAAAAAAACAAGCAGCAGTAGGATTAGCACAAACAATAATAGCAGGATTGATTTGGGAAACAATTCTAATCACGTCTCTGCAAGCACATAAAATTTAAATTTAAAAAATAGTTTACAAACAAATACATCTTTGTACAGCTAAATATCATCACAGTAATAATAACAGCTAAAATAAGATAAGCAATAATAACCTTAAGAAATTGAAAATGACTTAAAAGACGATGGATAAATTGACGATCTTAAAGCCCTTTAAACTAGCAATTAATCAATCTAATAATTTAAAGAAAAGCATGAAATTTTAATGAATAATTTACAACAATTAAAAAAATCAGCAAATGAAAGTCTGAATAAAAGTAAACTCAGTCACCTCAAACCTGATTTTTGTAACCAAAGTAGTAAGTTAAGTAGAAGCAATTTGTATGATGAAGACTCTTAAATGAAGTCATAAATTATAGAGAATAGCTTCTCATAAGCTATGAACTCAAACGGTGAAAGCAAATCTCATCAAACTTTTGCAGAAAGTATCAAGAAATGCCAAGAAATTAAAAAATATCTCTAAAATAAAATAATCACAGAGCAAATGAATAAAAAATTAGAGATCTAAGACGAATCACTAAAAAACAGTAGAGCTTCTTTCAAAGAGTAAAAAACTAAAAAAACAAACTAAATTTTGCAAGAGATATCTGACATGATTTAAAATTCATCCTCAATTTATTCTTCTCAAAGTAATTTTACTAAGTTTCATGCAAACAGTAGTCAAAAGAAATAAAATTTACAAAATAATGAAAATGACGCTTCAAATAGCAGCTTCAATAGCAGTTAACAAAGCTTTTCAAATAAAGATAGTACTAAAATAAGCCAATTATTAACTAAACTTGATAAATTAAACGAATCTTATAAAAGACTCAACTTCTAAATAGAAAGCGAAATATAAAATTCTAAAAGCTCTTCTCTATCTTCTTTAGAGTAAGATCTTAAAAATTGACCAATTCAAACAACAAATAATAAAACAAAAAATCAACATCCTTATTTTAATCCATGAAAAACCAATCTGTAAATAAATAAATAGCAATTATATTCATAAATAATAACAAGACAATTAAAATTTAAAATTGTATATATTATTAAAACTCATTATATATAAATCAAACTGTAAATTATTAAAAAATACATTTATCTGTCTGTTTTAATTTTTATATCAAAAAAAATTAGCTACTTTAAATTTATTTCACAAATCTTTATTTATTATTTAAAAAAAGTATTTAATTTATTCAAATAAATTAAAAATTCATCACAAATTTATTATTTATTTAATTCTAATTACCGTCTAAGCTGTAAGTTAAATTAAAAAAAAATAATTTTTTGGGAAAAACTCACACTTAAAAAAAATTTTTAAAAAATACTAAAATTAATTAAAAAATTAATAGAAAAATCATAAAAATTGATATAAATTAAAATAATAAATAATATTAATTATTTTCTATTATAAAATTATCTATTTTTATATAAATAATATTCAAATATATCAGCCTTTCAAAAAAATAGTGATCTCAATTCACTAAATTTTTGAATGGCATTTAGCTATAAATTAAATATTTTTTAAAGAAAATATTTAAAAGTTTAATAAAAAAAATCTTTTTTATTTTGTTTTCTTAAATAAATTTCTTAATATTAATTTGAAACTAGATAACTGGTAGCTTATTTTTTGAATAGCTTTAAAATGAAATAATATTATATAAAATAAAGATAAGACATATATAATAGTAAATAGAAGGAGTTTGGAAGAGAAAAATATATATATATACAGCTTTGAAATTTAATAATGTACAATTAAGCTAAATATTTTTCAATAAATATTTATTTATTAATTCATTTATTTATTGATTGATTGATTGATTTATAAACGTTATTTTTTTGTTTATTTCTTATAGTTGCTAAATATTTTAACTTTGTTTGCTTTTAATATGGTATTTTGTTTAAATCGTGCATAACTAATTAATTTAAATATTATTAATTATTATATTTGCTGTTCTTAGTGGCTTTATTGAGTATTAATTATACACTCTAAATCATTTTGATCATCTAAAGCTCAAATAAGTAAACTAATTATATAGTTTGTTTGGTAAATTATAAAGTTTTAATTCAAATTTGCTTATTTTAATCGACTGTCATTGATTTCTCAAAATCTGCTAAGGTTACCAAATCTTCTTATAAATTCATTTCTATATTATCAGCTTTAAGGGTTTTCCATTCCTTGAAGTTAAAGAAAGAAAATTTATATAAATTTTTGCCTACTTCTTCTATTTCTTTAATCCAAGTTAGCATATTGTGATTATATTTCCACCCTTTTTCGTATCTAAATTGAAAATAATTTAATATTCATGCAAAACTTTTTTAAATTTACAAAACTTAGACTGCAGCGAACTATTGCGTTTCATCAGGATAGTTGTAAAAGATGTAAAAAAGAGTATCTTCAGGCAATTTTTTTATCAAAGTTGGATTCAATTGAACTTGGGGCTTTTAATAAGATTAAGGAATCTAAAAATTAAGAGCATCTGTTTTTACAGAAGGATTTTCTGCAAAAGGAGATCCAAAAGTTTAGTGAATCCTATTTATTTCGCAATAAAATTGATGATTAATTGAATTTAATTTAATTTGAATATGCATGCTAAGTTTTTCTACTTGCTGGCTTAAACTAAAATTATTAACAAAAATGAAATCAATTTAATATTTTACAGTCCTTCCTAATTCAAGTTTGTGATTCCTGTTTAAGGAATATCCATACCAAAGACATACATTTACTTTTCATTGGGAACATTTTTTAATTCCTCCATTTTTCCTACCAAAGTCTTCTTCTTTTTAGAATCATCGTTAAACTAAGGATCTTTTCATAAAAATCAGTTAAATTAGCTATGAAATAGTTTAGTCAATTTAATTATTTCCATTTTCAAGCTTAAAAATGAAACAAAATTGGTTTTTTTAAGACTAATCTTAAGAAAACAATAAATATTTAAATTTGAAATAAATGAACGCAATACTTAGTATTTAGGTCTATTGATAGCCAGGAATGCCTTGATTTAAGATAGGAACTTGTTGTGATTGCTAAAGTTGCTATTATATAAGAATTTAATGCTATGGCTAAGGTTGCTAGATATATTGTGCCTAAATTGGTTAATACATTGCTGGATATCCTCCTTAATTCATATTTAAAAAGCTATTTATTAATTTCTTTTCTTTGATAATCCTTATTATAAATTGAAATTTTTATTAAAATAAATAATTTATTATTTTTTTGTATTTATTTTCTCATAACATCATGAATGATACAAATAATCTCAATATCTTTCAATCTTGCTTAGTTTAACTTTATAATGAATAAATAGATAGATAAATAAATAATTCATAAGTAAGTCTATTATTTTATAATATGTTAAATTAAAAACGACATTATAATTTTTATTCATTTTATTACAAATCATCAAACATTTCATTTAATAATAAATAAACTTTAGTTAAATTAAATTTTTTTAATTTATGTTCTTAAAGAATATTAGTAAGTTTATAAAGTCTATCTAATTATTTTGATAAAATGAATTTCAATAGTAAATTTTAAAGAAATCTAATTTTTTTAGTGTTATTAAGTTAATATTATCTCAAAAAAGCAAATAACTTTTAATTATAAAGTATTAATCACAAAAAAGATTTATGAAAGCTAATTAATTATTAAAAGTATAAAAATTCATATAAATAAGCTTTCAAAAGTATTCCAAAAGGTAGCTAAATTAATTTTAATTTAATAAATGATTGGTTCTAATCTTTCAAATATTAATTATTTATAATTTTTCATTTTTAATATTTATTAATTACAAAAAATAATTTAAATTTTACAATTTTAAAAAATAATAAAAAAGTAGTATTAGAAAGAAGTGTTGAAAAATAAACCATTATAAAAAAAGAATATTATCTAAATAATTGGAATTAAATAAATAAATAAATTTAGGAAAGTTCTTAATGAGCTAGAAACTATATTATATAATTTTAAAGAATTAGGTAGTATAATTTTACTTATTTAATAAATTATCTATGATAATTAAGTCATCTTAATATATACTTATTTACAAAGATATCCTTTAAAAATGATATCAAATAAAATATAAGAGGAAAAGTGAGGTCTGG